GGTTTAGGTGTAGTTGGTCCAGGAGTTGTTGGTTTAGGTGTGGTTGGTCCAGGACTTGTTGGTTTAGGTGTGGTTGGTTTAAGTGTAGTTGGTTTGGGTGTAGTTGGTCCAGGAGTTGTTGGCTCAACTATAGACGAAAGACAGTATTCAATGAAAATGCATCAGTGATTCACATAAATATTTAGGTTTGTTAGTCTGTTTCTTTGATCAGTGTCACACCTTTGCAGGTCATAATACACACTGCATCAACAGCAATATCAGTCAGAGGAGTTTCTCCATAGGTGCCCACAATGGCAAACTAAAATAAACAAACACTGTTAGAGAGTACATATAACAAGAACAAATATGTAAGTCTTAACACAGATGCATACATACACAAAAAGGCACTATGGCTTCATGTGTTTACCTGAGTTTCAGTGGTTCCCACAAAGCGGACTTCTACAGGCTTCCAGCCTTGACCTTGGTTCCCTGTGACAGTGAAGAGAGTGGGCCCAAGGCTTCCACCTGATTAATAGAAAATAAAAATCAAACTAATGAAAAAACTTGATACCAGTGTTCTGACATTGAACCTAATAATAAACTCATCTTTTTACCTGATGAAACGCTGTGGACACTGAGCTGCATGGTGGTGCTTGTACCATACAGATAGTAGTGGAAGCTAAGCTCCAAACATCCAGGAGAGGATGGAATTACAGGACTTCTGATCTGAGAACTGGCTCCAGGGATCGTGTCCAATGAATCCATGAGCATGTACGATCCCACTGTGTCAAGATAATGCAAAATGTTTTTATTTACCGTGAACTATGAATTATTGTTGTGGGTAGAATATTATTTGGCAGGTGCACACCTCTGCAGCCTGTGCTCAGTGATGGCTTCCATACAAACCAGATAAAATAGATTCACTTACATCCAGGTTTGGAGAAGTCATCATCAGGTCCAGTTCCTTCGGTTTCTGTAGACCCTGTCCACTGACCAAAACCGAACATATCGGTATTATCGTTGTAAGTTGTCCACCCACACAAGTTGTCAAGAGTGTCAAAATCACAACCAGATTCACAGGCTGTGGAAAAAAGTCAACATTTATTCAGTGTTGTGTTTTTGTTTTGTGTGTGTGCTTGAATGCATCTGAACACACCAGGACATTCTCCCACAGTAATGATGATATTGTCCAGAGCTGAGTCGCACGACTCAGAGATGCCTCTTTGAGCCTCAAACACAACCTGCAAGACACAGTGAACGATAACCATCACCTGAACAAGTCAATGAATTGTCAAGAATTTCTACCACATGTTTGAAATCTTTTGACTTTGTTTTAACCAGGAAGTTACATTTGACTTCAGAGTAAAAATGTACTGTACATGTCTGCTAGTTTTATTCAGGTATGTTGCAAGCTTTGACTCTTAATACATACAGAGCAGTCATTTTATCCGTGTAAGTTCCATTTCAATATCATGCATCCATGTTCTGCCAAAGAATTCCATGCAGTTTCCATGCTGGCTAAGGGATACAGTAACCTCTCTATGGAGTCTGCCCCAAAGTTTCTTCCCAGTGCGATGACTGAAACATCTCCCTTGGAAGGCTTTCAGGAAGTAAACGGTAAATGGACTGTACTTATATAGCGCCTTTCTATCTTATCGAGATACTCAAAGTGCTTTACACTACAATCTGTGTCCTCATTTACCCATTCATACAGCACTCTACTAGATCTCTACAAAGCTAATTGAACAAATCATTCTAAAGAGACTAATCAGAGCTTTATCACATTCATACACCGATGGGACACACATCAGAGGCAACAAGGGGTTCAGTGTCTTGCCCAGGGACACTTCAGCATGTGACTGCTGGTGGATTCGAACCCCCAACTCTTGCATTAGAGGATGACTGCTCTAACCACTCAGCCACAGCTGCCCCAGTACCTGTACAAGATGTTTAACCCAACTCAACCGGCTCCTTTCAATACAGAGGAGCAGCATTTAATACTCTCAAATTTCCTCACAAATGGCCACACAAGGGACAAGATCATAAGCCTTCTCCAAATAAACAAAACACAATTTACTGATTGGGTAAACTCCCATGCACACTCAATAATCCTTGAAAGAATTTAGTCTTTCAATGTTTCATGACCTGAGAAGTGCGTTGCTTCTCCTAAAGTTGAGGTTAATTTTCTTCTCCAGCATCCTGGCATAGACTTTCCCTGGGAGGCTCTTAAGTGTAATTCCTCTAAAGTTAATGGACATCCTCCAGTCACCTGTTTAGAGAGAGGGATCACCATCCTGGTGTGCCATTCCAAAGGCAGTGACCCTAAATTTTATGCAATGTAGCAACCAAAACAACCTAACAATATCCAGAAAAGTAAGGAGCTCAGGGTGGATCTCATTTACCCTTAAACACTTATTGCTATGCAATTGCTTAACTACCTCATCGGCTTCAGTTCCAATGATAGTCAACTCCTTCCCAAAATACCCAGTCTCACCTTCCAAAGTAAAAGGCTCATCAATTTTACAAGAACCTAAAAGTATTTGTCTCAATGCCTGACTGCATCTTCAGGTGAGGTCAGCGGCACCTCATTCATACTGTACACAGCATTAGCAATGTAGTATTTTCATCATTTCAATTTCATTATTTTCATGGATAAAAGTAAACAAGGAACTCAGTGTCCCTTGCCCAGACATGGGTTACCAGGGTCCCACCCTGGAGCCAGCCCTAAGGGAGGGGCTCATTGGCAATTTCCTGGTGACCATGGTCTCTACACATGGAGCCCGGTCTGCTCAGCCCAAAGGAAAAAAATGGGTTTGTCTTCCTGTGGGCCCACCACCTGCACGAGGGATCATATGAGTCAGGTGCATGAATCCATGGGCAGTGGCCAAAGGCGGGGACATTGGCGCTCTGATCCTGGCTTACCACATCTGGCTCTTGGGACATGGAACGTGACCTCTCTGGCGGGGAAGGAGACTGAGCTTGTACGTGATGTTGAGAGCAGGGGCAGCTTGTCTGTAGGGGGCACTAGGGCACCACCCATCTGAAACTACTCACCATTTTACATTGAAGACTTTAAAAAAAAAGAAAGAATAAAATAAAAAATGTTCAAAACATATGTATATTTTTTGTTGTCTAGAATAAATATAGGTATGATGAGTTACGTTGTTTGTTTCAAAAAACGTTTGATTGGTGATGTATTTCTGGCCCCTGGGGATGCAAGAATCTAGTCCATAGACTCTCGTTAATAATTGTACATTTAATTTTTAATTTTTTTAATTTTAATTTATTTATTCATTTCAAATTAAAAACACAATAACAATTTCAAAACAAGAAAGTAAAATACAAAACATAAAATGAAAGGCAGCAGAAGAAGAAAAAAAATCTTATTATTTCTGCCCCCTCTACATGTACAATTATTCTGATTTGTTGCAAGAGATAGGAAGAATCTGGATGCACCACTTCAGCGTCAACTGGCGCAGTGTACGGATCGAGTTTCCGGTCCCGCTGTCTCGGTAAGATTTATTAATTTTATTTTATTTTTTGCCCAGGAAAAATGGTGCAGTGACACTCACAAGTCACAACCATTACCAGACTATGTATGAAATATTATTTACCTGTCAGATAACAATGCATTTTAAAGAGGCGCCACATTTGAACAGGCAGTAACTTGGATGACCCCAGCATTCACAAGGAACTCAGTTGTTTGCTGCCGTTTGTTTTTACCGGCCAGAGTCCTGTGTTTGCACGACCGACCACAAACAAGCAGATGGAAGACTCTGAGGTAACAAACTAATTGTAAGGATGGTGCCATCAAGTGGGCCTTCCTTGTCTGTTTTCCTGATTAATCCTGATTGGTTTCTCTTTTGTCTGATCCAAGCTGTTTGTAATTATGTCTTGTCCTGTCTGTGTATGTAAGTCTGTCTGTGAGTCTTGTCCTTTGCCGCGTCATCATTGGGTATTGTCCTGTTCTGTCCTGCCAGCCTGATCTGATCCTTGTTCCCTGTTTTTGTAAGTTGCTGCCACGTCAGCCCTTTTGATTTATTATTATTAAAGATTTTTTATTTTTGTAAATCCTTTGGTCCTGACTCTTGCCTGCAATATTGGGTTCACTCCTGCCCTGCCCTGTCAGAAACCCTGACAGTACGACATGACCAACCATGAACCCAGTAGGTGAGAAATTTTTGTCTGGACTCTCTAATGAGAATTATTCTCGACTCTGTGACACTGTCCAGAGATGTATGAACTTAGCCACCTCCTACAATCTGTGGGAAAGGTTGGTGGCCACAAAGGACATGTGGGATTAATATATTCATCTCCCTGGTTTAATTGACTCTCCTAGTATGGAGGACATTTTGGACGAGGTGCTAGAGGAGAAGCGTTGGTTGGAACTGCTCATCTAACCCTATGCTGCTAGTCCTAGTCCTCCACCAGAACCGGACTCCCCTGTTTTTGACACAGATCTGGAACCGCTAACACCACCTGCATGCTCAGCTCCTCGCACTCGGCCAGATCCTGGACCTGAACAACACCACCACCCACGTCGGAGAGGTCGACGGCAGAAGGGTTCCAGAGACTCGGTCCCAGTTCCAGAACTTGCAGGTCATCCATAACCTGCAGCCCCAGAGCTTCCAGAACCTGCAGCTCCAGAGCCTCCAGAACCTATAGCCCTATAGCCTCCAGAACCTGCAGTCTCTCCATTACCTACAGTCCCTTCAGAACCTGCAATCCCTCTAGAACCTGCACTCTCTCCAGAACCTGCGCCCAGCCCAGAGCCTGCAGCCAGCCCAGAGCCTGCAGCCAGCCCTGAACGTGCAGCCCGCCTTGAACCTGCAGCCACTACAGAGACCGCAGTTACCACCGAAGTTGCGGAGGGGTCCACGCCTCAATATGAGGGTACCAAGGCTGCTGAGAGGACCCAGACAGACTCTACACCTGCCTGCTTCAGTTTGGAGATCCAGACAGACTCCTTTCCTGCCTGCTCAGCCATGGGGGTCCAGACGGACTCCTTTCCTGCCTGCTCAGCTGTGGGGGTCCAGACGGACTCCTTTCCTGTCTGTCCTGCCACAGAAGATCTGGTTCCAGGAGATCCGACCGCAGAAGACCCTGCCTCTGCTGACCTGTCTGCTGAACTCCTCATGACTGATCTGTCTGCTGAGGTCCTCGCTCCTGGTCTGTCCTCTGAGGTCCTTGCTCCTGGTCGAAACGTTTCACCTTCCATCCAGAAAGCTTCATCAGTCAAGGAAACACACAGCTGATTCTTTCCCCAACAGCTTACTGCAAAGTAGAACAAACCAGTTATGTTGGTGCTAAGATGGTCTCTTTGGCACGCCCCCTCCTCAGTTGCCAGCTGTCTTCCTCATCGACAGTCAACTTTTAACTTGAACTTGTGATCTCAGGAGACTTGGAGAAGAACAGGCTTCATTCAGCTCTTCACATCTTGGCAACAGGCAAAGAGTCCACACCTGAACCTCTAAAGACAACTGCAGGTTGTGAACAGAAGCATCAGTGGCGGTCGTTCACCAGGTGAGGCTGACACCACAGAGATGGTAAAAAAACTCAGAGTTAACAAATTAACCATTAACCAGAGAAAATTGTTTTTAATTCATTTCACTTCATTTATATAGCGCAAATTCACAACAGAAGTAATCTCAGGGTGCTGAACAGAAATATTTATATAGCGCAAATTCACAACAGAAGTCATCTCAGGGTGCTGAACAGAAATATTTATATATTTAATAAGTAGGTTAACAAAGTTATTTATCCGAGGAGCAGACTGGGAGTGGTGGCGCAGAGGTTAAAGAAGGTGGGCCAGTGACTGGAAGATCGCCGGTTCAACTCCCAGTACCAACAACATCAAAATGTGGGTGGGATAGGTGAAGCAGGCACACATGCCTCCAACCTCATTTGCCCCACACAAGGCCTTTGAGCAAGGCCCTTAACCCCCACCATCTGCTCCCCCGGGTGTCCTAGATAGCAGCTCTCTGTTCCATAGAGAGGGCTGTGGCAGCTCGGTAGTCTGTGGTTATGTCAGGAAGGGCATCTGGTGTAAAAAATAGCCAAGTGTTTGTGATTCACTTTGCTGTGACAACCCCTGAAGAAGGGAGCAGCAGAAAGGAAAAAAAAAAAAAACATCTGAGGAGCAGATTGCTTTGAGTTTAATTTCATCCCACACTCTCGTCTTGAGCAAGCACACAGGCAACAGTGGAAAGGACAGTTCTTAGTTCATATTTTAGATCTTATT